GAAGGCCAGCATTTCACTGTGGAATTCTGTCCCTTCATTAATATGGCAGTTTGCACTGCAATATTAATGTTTCAAATGCAAGATAGCAAATCTTGGAGAATATCTGCCCCCATTTCATAGAGCTATTAATCAATTTTTACAGTATGAACTATGACCTTGATAGTTTGTCTATTACCCTGTTTTCCCCAAAATAAGATCTAACCTGAAAATAAGCCCTAGTAGGATTTTTCGGGATGCTCATAACATAAGCCCTACCCCAAAAATTAGCACTAGTTTAGTGAAACCCCACCCTCCACCATTGTGCAGCATTGTGCAACAACCAGATGACATGACTGTAAAATAAAACATCCCCTGGAAATAAGCCGTAATGCTTTTTTAAAATCAAAAATTAACATAAGACGCTGTCTTATTTTCGGGCAAACATGGTACTACTACTTCAAAACCTAATGTTTCCAAAACTCTCCCTTTCATTCTGTCTGAACTTTTGCCAGTCCCAAATACCAACATGGCTACACACCAACTCAATGCTAATCTCAATGTCCTAATAGTGCCTAAATGCATATTGGATTAGGCTGAATCTTTTTAATATATTAACAAAATAACTGCTGCCCCTACCCCTTTTCAACATTTGCATTATTAACCATTCATAGAGTTCAATGCATCACAAATTATTTCCTCTCAAGAAAGCTGTCATAAAAGGAAAAAGCTTACAACAGGTGATCTGAAGGTGAAAACTTCACTTATACAGAGTGAAGAAACTGATAATTAACACACACACACAAGTATTTTTTTTCAGTTGTGGAATTTAACTCAGATGAAATAATGTCAACAATGTGGACCAGCTGCTCTGCACAATGCCAGCATGCAAACTGCTGAAAAATGCAATTAATGTTAACAGTGCAACCCTGCATGTGCCCGCTCTGAAGCCACATTGAGCACAAGTTCATTCCCAGATAAATGTGTGTAAGGTTGCAGGCCAAGTGAGGCACTTATTGTAAATTATCCCAGTAAGAATATTTGTTATAACCAATGGTTCCAAACAAATACTGAAAGCCGGGGGGGGGGATGATAATTAGTACAAATCAATGGAATTTCTGGTCATGGCTCACCAATAAATGATAAACATTTTCCACGGAAATGGTATGCTCTCACAATGCTGGTAGACTATATTAATTTGAAAAATGAGTTATACAATTAGAAAAGTTAATCAGTTAATTACTACACATGTTGACTGCTCATTTCTAGAAAAAGAACAACATTTAATATAACACAGTGGATATACAAACTTGAGAGCATTCATGATGAGCTTGCCCCTCCAACAAATTAGTCAAAATTTAGTCAAGAAATGAAAATGAATTCATTCAAGACTGTGCACCCAAATAATTACTCTACCAAAGACCAATTTTAGTCAATTACATGCTATAAGTCAAGGTACATACTCTTTAATGGAACTATACCCTTTGTCTTTATTATTATGGTGTAAACACTAAAATGTAAAGAACAGTCATGTCACAAGAACATATATTAACACAGTGCTGTACGTGTGTGCGCACACACACACAGACAGACAGACACACACACACAAAACTATACATGTATTATACATTTACAGAATTATTTTAAAAACAAAAGTCAACCAGTGCACATTCATAGGAGTGTGCAGGCGCATCTTCCAATCATTTTGTTGTAGGGGGAACTTCAGAAGTGTCTTGCAGAGTATCAGTGTCAGCACAGAGCTGAATGTAATTTTCACAAATGCCACCTCAGCACTGCCTGCACCAGCAATCATTCATTGCTTTATAGGGGGAGGGGAAAGGATAATCTTAAAGGGCTAGTAACTGTCCAAGAGGAATTAAAAATTACAGTACAAAACTTCCTATATACTGAGGAGTGCTACAGAAATAACACAAGGAGAGCAGACTTCGTTTGATTGTTGCTACATGCTTTACTCCACGAAAACATAAATACAGGTTTGCCAGACTATGAAATATGTTGACCGGCTAAGAAAGGTATATTTATTAACAGAATATTGTGTCCTGATTTTCAATTTGTTACTGAAAAAGCTAATCAACTATTTTTAATAGCTCTCAACCACTTCTTCTACGTCACATAGCACAGATCCAAAAGGCAGGCAGTTCTGTAACCAGCACATTTGAGATACAAGTCATACTACATCTGGACTGGGAAAAAGTTGGAAGAGTTTAGTTTAATATAAGAGGAAACAGGGAAGCTGGATGAGCTAGACAAAACAAAAGCTGTATACATACCACAGAGGCATATGGAATACAGATTTGTCACACATATATATGGGAATATAACAGACAATTTGGATAGGGTTGCCATGGTTTCTACAGGAAAAATCAGTATTCATTATTGTTTCATTACTACTTTCAAATTAATTGATTCTAAGTGCTAAAGCTATGTAATACATGAACTCTATAGGCACATGTGCTTTGAATGATTCAAAACGCTTGGCTTCAGCAGAGCAAGCTGAACTAATATTTGGATGAATGCCCATATAAACATAAGAGCAGCAGGCACCCCAGAAAAGTTACAGTTTGTCCACTACAGGGCAATACAGTACTGTTTATGTGGGATCTGGAGGTTGCCAACGGGTATAGAAGCTCATATAAAATGAGCAAGAAAGAAAAAGGTAAAGGTGTATGAAATTCAGATGGTATTTTTCCTAGCTCCTCAGTCCATATCTCAGAAAGGGTCATCCATCCCGACCCTCGCCAGCTGTTGCAGGGGAAGGTTGCTGTCTGCAGACCCCTAGAACAGATGAATGGGTGCTATCACAGAAAAAAAGCCTCCGTCCTCTCACTCTGAGAGGTGCAACAGTAAAGACTGGGCTGTCCGCTCTGCCCAGAGCATGAGAGGATAGACTCTGTCCATTTGCTCTTTATCTTTCCTCCCTGCTTCCCTGGTGGCATGGCAGAGATGTGAACATGGCCACTGGAACTGCCCAGAGAGTATGTACAACCTGACGAGGGTCAGCAAGGAGAACTGGGGCCTAGAACAACATTCAACGAAAGTACACATGACCTACACCCTCTGCCTGCTTGCCTGACACACAGCGCTGCAGAAAACATTTGGCTGCTGGGTCAGAGGTGGAACACAGGCACCAGCTCCTCCCCAAGCAGGTGCCATGTCACTCTTTCTTGTTCAGCTCACACTGGAAGGGACAAGGGTTGGGACTAGAGAAAGGCCCACATTTGCTGTGGCCAGCCTTGGGAGCCAAGCTAAACACTGTAACTGACAGCCCTGCCCCCCCCCACTATTGGCTCCCCACCCCCAGGAGGGACTTGCTGCTTTGGGTACTGCTGCCTGACAATCCCCAGGTGCCTTCACAGCAACACTTAAGTACTCCCCTACCCATCTTCTCCTAAACAAAGTTTGATTAGCCACGGATGCCAGCTGAGCTCCCCTACTTTAAGGCAGTGTGAGCACCTTTTTCCTGTTTGGCACCAAGAATGCTGCTTAGGCACTCACAAGGCCAATATGCTCTTTGACACGTTGGCTGTGCAGCTGCCAAACAACACCACACCACCACCTACCTCTCCACTTTGAAGCTGGAGGAGATACCTGCAAACTCCCAAGGGGATTCTCCAACCATCAGGGTGGCTTCTGGACCAAATAGGGACTCTTTTTTTTTTTTTCCAAAATTAGGAGCTACTCCTCCATTCCAGGCACCAGCTGCCTATGCCGTCCATCTTGTAATTTCAACATTTCTAAGAACCTGACTAGTTGTCAATTCTGGTAGAGGCCACTGCCATGCACAGTGTGGTGACCAGACCCCATAGCCCAGGGTTAGGACTATCAGGGACATTCAAATAAAGAAGCACAAACTGTTTTTGATCTCTTTCTGGGAGAGGCAATAAAAGTAACTAATGTCACAGGGCTTAAATGTTCACTGCTGTGCTGGCCAGAGGAGGAAGGCAAGTGGACATACTTGAAGATGAGGCTAGATTTGCCCAATCATTTACTAAAGCTTACCCTCTGAGACCCAAGCCAGCTCTCAAACAAATGGCAAGTAGGCAAAGGCTGTAGCTTCTGCGCTCCTCTCTGGGCAGCACCACAGGACCCCAGTTCTTCCTACCTTACCACAGCACAGGATCTACCATTTCTGCTCACTTGCTCATTTTAGCTCTCTCTCTCTGTCTCTCTGATACAACGGAAGGGACGGGGGGGGGGCGGAGGAGAGAGAAAGACAGAGTTCTCAACAAAACTATGCTGCCAAAACTGTCCAAAACCTGGGTCGAGGCCTCAAGAGGGCCGCTTCCCCCTTTTCCTCACAGCAGCATCCACCTCAATCAGAGGATTAGGAATGCCTGAGGCCCTGCTTGAAACTGGAGCAGGACTGGGGATTGAAAGAAGAGAGCACAGTAAAGCCTGTCCTCACGGGTGCCCTGCCGGCGCTTTCCTCTGTCTGCCTCCTTAAAGTCAGGAAATCTAGACCGCTCGTGGCCTTCCTCCTCCTTTCCCCCGTTTCTCGGAGGAGCAAGGACGACCTGGCCAGGAAAAAGTTGGTGCAAAGTTTTGCGGCGGAGTCGGGGAGGGGGGTGGTAGAGATCCAGCTGGTGCGCGCTGGTGACACGTAGCCCGCTCGGTTCCCCCGCCCCCTCCTCGCCGAGCACGAGCGAGGGCGCGCTCCGCGTGCACCCCGTCCGGATTAGCCCTCCTCTCCAGGGCAGGGAAGCGAGGCCGGGACGGAGAGAGGAGTCAGCTTTACGGGGGAGGACACAGAAGGGCAGCCAGCGCCAGCGCCTCCTCTCTGCCTCCACGTCGGCAATCGGCTCCCTGCCCTCCCTCCTTCCGTCTCTCCTTCCTTCCTTCCTTCCTTCCTTCCCGGGCATCCACCAAGCTCTGCCGCTGTTCTCTCCGGATTTTCCATTCCCGCGGCGATCGCCTGCCTCTTCGCTCCCCCGGCAGGACCCCCACTCCCACACCCCATTCCGTCCCATCCCGGCCCGCCCAAATGCCCCGTACGTGGCACTCACTTCGGCCCGTGCCTGCTCAGCTCGCCCTGCTGGAGAAGCCCCGAAGCGCTCCCGGGAAAACGGCGAGGCACCTTCCCGTCGGTTATATGGAGGAGAGGCTGCCAATCCCAGACGCACACGTCAGAACAGCCGGGCCCCTTCCCTTGCCCTTCCTGGGAAGGCCCGGCCCAGCCGCCAGCCAGCCAGCCAGCCAGCGCAGGGCTTCCTTCGGAAAGTGTGGGGTAGCGGCGCTTCATCACGCTGCGCCGCCGCCGCCGCCGCCGCTTCTAGCCAGTCCGGCTTCTGGTCGAACAGAGCAGCCTGCCGGAGGAGGAGGGGAGCCCCCCCCGCCCCGCTCCAGCGAGCCAGTCCGGGCGAGTGCTTCTATTCTGTTCTGGCGCAAAGGGAGGGAGAAACACCGAAAATCAACCCCCAACCAACTCGGAAACCTTGAGCCTGCCCTACTCGGTTGTAGTAGAATATCCGCCGGACGCGATACAAATTACTGCTTAGGAAACATGTGAGAAGGCTTGGGCTCCCAGCGACGTAGGGAACTCAGTTCGTAGAATTTACTTCTGAGTAAACAAGTTGCTGGGGGAGGGGTGCGCTCTGCAAGAGTTAGAAATGCACACGTGTTCAGTTTAATCTTCGACCTCGGAGGTTCCCTCTAAAACGAAAGCACAGTTCCTAGAATCTCAAGTCAGTCTCAGCAGGCAGAAACCTCGACAGTTACCCTGGAATGCCGGGTCAGCACAAGCCAGCTATTTGTGTGAACACATAACCGGGTTACATTTCATAGGCAGCTTCCCTGTAACAGGGTACCGGGAAGAATTAGCTCTCTTAAAATAAAGTGGTGAAAGGCCGGGGCAGGGAGACACAGCGGTAGGCCCTTCTGCATCCAAGACCAGTAGGTTTATAATTAGTTGCTTACAAGATTCCAATAACACATTCTCCAGTGCGATTAAGCTCTGCTTCAGTATCCCACACAACTCTTGTGTTGCATCACACAGTTCCACTAAATCTCCCTGTGATTTTTTTAACCAGTTACAAATAAACAACCTTTTTCTCTCTGATTTTCCTGAGTCCTAGTCTGTCACTGCATCTGCTATACCATACTCGATACATTCAATGAAATGGATAAATTTAAAGCAAATCTGGATCTTTACACTCAAGCCAGCATGAGAAGAGAGGGGTGAGCCCAAGTGCTGCTTCTAGCTCTGTAAACCATCACAACTGAAACAATTGACCAAACCACTATGAACAGCAATTCACAGTGTCACAGTACTTTCTTGTAATGCATCAAAATGTATTATTTAAATTTAAGACATGACTCAAGATGCCACCAAGTTGATGCTGGGAGGAAATATGGCTGCCCTTATGTCCCATTGTTTTTGCCTCTAAAGTAGGATTTCTGGTTGAATGAACATGTCATGGCTTGTTTTCCATAGCAATTAGCTTTCAAAAGAGGGAGGACAGCCTTTCATAGCTTCTGCTCCCCTCACATATCATGACCGGACATATCCTGTAGGAGGATAAAATACAGAAATCTTATGGTATAAAAGAGGTTTGTCCTGATCTGCTTATGCTCCCTCTGGATGCAACTGTTTCAGTATGACTGACTTCTTCATCCCTATTTTTTTCCTCACAGAAAAAAACTGTAAAAGAGAGTCTATTGGTGTAAAAGGGGGCAAGTTTCAAGTCAGTGGGTTTAGAAGGTAGATGCATGCTTTTTTCAAGGCAGGAACCTAGTAAAACCACATGTGGACTAAAATGGCCGCAGTCCTGCCATTTAATTTTCCACAGAATTCTAGAGGGAAGCCCTTTAAAGTAAGAAGGTTGTGTTAGTCTGTTACTGCAAAAGGCAACATTTCTGTAAACTATCATGGCAGAAGCCAACTTTCTGTGACCTCACATTGTTCAGATGGGATTGGACTATAATTCCTATCACTCTAGCCAATATCCAAAAATGTCTGGAAATGGAAATTTTAGTCCAGCACATCTGGTGAGCAATAGGTTATGAGTTCATGACACTTTCCATGTTATCATCCCCATAGAAAGAAAAGAAATGGTGGAAAGATCTTTTTGTGATTGGTGGGTACAGTATTTCAATCCAGTTAAAATTGGCAGAGAGAATCAGTCTGCTTTGTATTGTGAATTCAAATTCGTATGTTGCTGTTGACTGCTCATCTTGTTCATTTATATGGTGACTTTTAAAAAACATTTCTCTCAATTTAATTTGTTTGATAAAGACATTGTATTTTCCTAATGTTGGCAACTATTTGTTCCTATGATTCAAAGAGCATAGAAATTCCCCAAAGAAACAGAGTTTCAGTTTAAAATAATGAATTATGATTGAGTCTATAGTCCTAGAAGCAAGGAAACTGAAATGTCATTTCTAACTCTAGGCCAAAACAATAATATCCAGAAAAACTCGAATGAATATGCAGCAACTCTTGTCATAGCATTCAACCAAGGGTCCATGTAAGGTGTGCCTGCATGTGCGACTCTGCCCCCTTCCACGCAGGGCTTCCCTGTACACCGACAATGATAGTTTTCAGTCACTTTGGTTCTGCTGACGACAGAACCCTGTCTGCAGGGGCAAAGTTGCATAGGCAAGGGGCACAGCCTTGCTCAGCAGGGCTGAAATTTAGAGGGAACACTGCACACAATGCCTAGCCTACAGCAGTTCAAAATGATGTCCAATCAATTATTTTCTGTTCCAGTTAATTTATTTTAGACCAGTTTTAGCTGGTAAATGACTACCATTATTTTCCTACCAGTTGTCTACCCACTCCTTTCTCACTCTCTTCACCAATGTCCTTGTTCCTTCCTTGACCTATAAGCCCATCCCTGCCATCATGTCTTCTATTTTTTTAACTTTTTTGTGCCTCTGTTTGTACATGTAGTTATGCAAGTCTTTTTTTTTTAAATCTGTAATGAAAATTTCACATTTGAAGATGCATGTAAACCAATTTGTTGAAAAATAAAAAAGTGGCATGACAGGGCATGACATCACGTGGTATCATGCACAGGGATGGATTTGCTATGAAACTACTGAAGCTTAAACTTCAGAATCCCTAATCCCGGAGAGGTCCCAGAAGCTATTTCAGTCCACATTTTAATTGTTTTTTAAGAAGATAACAATGCCTACCCAAACCTTGTTGCTAGTTGTGAAGGAGCTCCTATAACAGTTTAAGCTTCAGGGCCCCAAAAATGTAGGTCTGCCTCTGGTCATATCCACAGTGCCAGTGTGCATGCTGGATTCAGACAAAGAAAAAAAGCACTTGAATTTGAGCATATATTATCAGAAGGGTCATGGCTTTTTGCAGTTAACCTGCAGCAAACACTCTCCCCTCATTTTATGTCAAAGGTGTAGTTCCGGGCTCAGATTCTCATTTTACCCATGGGCATATTGCTGCATCCTTTTGTCTTTTAATTTCTACTCCAAGTACAGTAGTGCATCGACTTACATACATCCCTACTTACAACCATTTCGAGTTACGACCAGCTTTGGCTGCAAAATTTTGCTTCGACTTGCATCTGGAGCTTCGACTTGCAACCAAGAAAGGGCAGGGGGAAAAGACGGGAAATTCAAACCCTTTGTAGCAAAGAGGCTGCTTCTTTGTAGCTCTTTTGCCCCAATGGTTAGGGAAAGGGATGCTTTGCCAGGCCCAGCGGAGGGGGCTGGCGGCAGCGGCCCAGCACCAGGAGGCTGAGCCTGGCCGGGATGCTCCAGCTGCTCACCCGGGCCTCGCACTCCACCATGGCCGGCCCTGCCAGGGAGTGAGTGCGATCAGAGGAGGCTTCAGATTGCCTCGTTAGGTAAGGTACTGCTTCTTGCTTTTTAAAAACTATTCTGGGTAGGTTTTGCAGGGTGGGTTTGGGCTGGGGTGGTTATGTTTCTGTGCTCTGTTTTTTGTGGGGGTTTTTTTGGTGATTTACTTTTTGCAGTCCCAGTGTGGGACTTGCTCCGATGTTTATTTTGGGGTTTTGTTTGTTTTTTGCAGCCCCAGCGCATTCCTATGGGGCTTGCAGTGTTTTAATTTTTTTGTGTATTTTTTTAAAATGGTGGAACAGATTCATCGCGTTCTCATGCATTTCAATGAGAAATAGTACTTCGACATATGACCATTTTGACTTAACGTCCATCTTCTGGAACAGATTATAGTCGTAAGTCAAGGCACCACTGTAAATGTGAGTTCCACTCTTTGATTCCTTTAGAACAGAAATCATCCTTTAGAAGTCAATTCAGCACAACAAAACTTCTTTCTCTCATTCAGTACAAATCACTTGGACATAATGAGTAAATATCATGTCACTGTTGGTAAACTGTGTTGCAAACCTATGACATGATGAAAGCCTATGTTTATTTTCAGCTATTCTATTTCACTAGCAATGAACCATGTAGAAAACAAGGTGGATGGTGTGACCATGTTGTAATGGTCACCTGGGTAGAAATTGAGATGAAGTTGATTTGTGGTCTGACTTTCCTTGCTTTAGGGGCAGAACTTCAACCATACCTTTTGCTTTAAAACTGAAGGCTTCTTCCTCCTTGGAGAATTGCTCTTACATTAGAAAAACACATGGATAACGTTATCAGTCCAGGGGCATGGTCCTTCAGCTACAATGGATTGACCCCAGCCAAAAAAGAACAGGAAAAGAAAAAGAGTTTGTTCATGATAAATCTTAAATGTCTTTTGCTTAAAAATAACATCAGAGGAGTAATAATTTCCCAGCTGGAATCTACAATATACTTGGCCAATAATTATGGCAAGTTTTGAAGGTATCAAAGGGCTGAATCATGCTAAATAGAGTTACTAGAAGTTGCGGAGAGGTTCAGGAGACCATTTGGTGCAATCTTCACATCCAAATGGCATAGACATCTCAAACAACCCTATTTAGTCCAGATCCTTCCACTGTCAATTTCCCATATGTGCTTAAGACAGCTGCTTCAGGATACTGAAAAATTAAATTCTCCCTATGATCCATGGAGAGGCAGAAGAAGTGGGGGGAAATTGTTACTCTCTTAAGGCAGTGCAGATCACTTATAAAAAAATAAACCATGGATTTGGCTGTAGGTGCATTCTCAACCTGATCTTTTATACAAGTTACAAAGAAAGGAAGATAATTCCCTTCTTTCCCCCTTCTTCCTCTTCCCACTTTCAGGAGTAAGCTTTCAATTTTTAAAACATTTTAAATATGTTATCCAGTGCATTTGTGCTGCCCCTAAAAGAATTTAAACATTTTCACTTTCTCTGCCCCTCCACAGAACAGAGGAAGTGTTTTAATCTGCGAGTATTCTGGAGTGACTGCCTCAAGCCATTTTACCATGTGCAAAATTGACATTGGAAGGAGCCTTGACAGCCTGAAACTTGATTTGGCTCATTTCCAGCGTGAGACACGAGGCGAGAGGGTAGAGGCTTTCGCCGAGTGTTGTCCTCCCCCAAAAAGGAACAAGAGGCACAGACAGACTCGCCTGTACCACTGCTTCAGACTAAACAGCAGGGGTTGATACCCAGGAATTAGAGCGGGAACTGTCAAAGATGACACTGGCCACTCAGATTGGGAGTGAGTTGGCAGGAAGAGAAGAAAGAGGGAGGTCCGTCATGGAGGCAGGAATGGGAGATTTAAAAGGAGAGGTAGACTTAATACCAGGAGACTGGGAAATGATATGGATAGAGGACACATGGACTGGAAAATGGGAAAAGGTACAGGTCCCTAGAGAAGAAGCTGATTGCCAGTGGAGAAGGGGGCTGCCGCAGTCCCTCCTACTGAGGTGAGTCAGAAGCCAGAGAGTGGCGCAGGTGGCTCAGGGAGGAAAAGGAGGTGGTAGAAAGGGAGGAAAAAGTGTTGGTTATGGCGTCTGGAAGAAGCTCAGAGGAAGGGGTACTTAATGGACCGTGGACCCCTCTGCGAGGTGTGAGATGAGGAGACCACCCCATTACTAGACCCGGAATTAGAGACTTTTGGCTTGGACAATATTAATCCATTTTTGAAAGGACCCTGGAATGAGTTGAGTTGTAACCCCTTTGGCAAAGGACTTTTGGATGCCCTCGCTGGACCCGTTGGCAACGAGAGAAACCGCAGAAGCTGAGTTCAGGCAGACAGATTTATTGTCACATATTCCAATAAAGACTAGTTGTGATTTTCCAGCGCGAGTGCCTCCAGTGTCTCTGTTGAAACCAGAGGAGGTAAAGTTTGAACCATTACATCCAGTGATTGCATATGCTGGAAACAAACCAAAATAGAGTGATCCTATCTGCAGCAAAAAAAGTAGAAGCCCTAACAGGGACCCAGAAAAGTGTGAGCAGAAATACTGAGGACGTGCTGGTTTGCTCTAGCAATTATATCATATGATCATCAGAAAAAGGAGTGAACCAACCTGTCTCTGCAGTGGACCAAAGAGAGGGCTAAAAACTAGTTTGATCACGCTCTAATGCAAATTACTACATATATAAGCAATATATAAGCAAATTTAAAAAACTGGCTTACTGTCACATTGACTCATTCCATTTTATTGCTCAGGCACATTATATTTATTTCAGTGAAAGTTACTTTGCACTTTATTCAAGCTTCTTGTGGAGTGCAATCCACTGGCTTGGTAGAGTTTTGGGGAGTAGTTGAAAAATTATTGAGGTTTCCTTGTCCTATTAAGAGTCTGAAATACACCTCATTCATGTTTGATTTCATTGTGAATCTTCACTGCTGCCAGTGTGCCAACATTTTCAGATTGGTTCCGTGCTATGGAGAGAATGCAATGGATTCCACATACGTAAAACACCTATTATTTAGTTAAGGAACGTATTGTTATTCCAGGGATTGGGACCCTAGGCTTGGACCTGGAGTAGCATGATGGACAATTAAAGATATATGGGGCTCCAGTAGATGTTTGACTGGTCTTAAACAAAAACACCAGAAGCAACAGTGGCCCCATCAAGGTCAGGGGAGGGGAAAAATGGCCCCCAAACCCAGCAAAGCTGTCCGCCACTGTGCTGTAAGAATCCTCCTATGAGTTTACTTATGCGTACTGTATTCAGGGCTGTCCTTTGAAGATGCCGGCCACAGAGACTGGCGAAACATTAGGAAGAACAACCTTCGGAACATGGCCAAAGAGCCCGAAAAACCCACAACCATACTGTATTTGTTGCTCAATCAGTAGCTGATGTATAGAGGAGAACATTGCTTCTGGGATTAGGCTAACCATTCGTAGTTATATTATAATATCCTGGTTTTATAAGCCAAGCTGCTGAATTTTTTTTGCCTACACTTAACAACCCCTTCACGCTTCCATTTCCAGAGACAGTAATCAAACTAAAAAGCATCTGTCTGCCCATAGTTTACCTTTTCATGGGAACTATGAAACTACAGTTACCAAATACAGAACAAGGTAGCATCATAGAATCATAGAAAAGAGAAACTGGAAGGGGCCTACAAGGCCATCAAGTCAATGCAGTAATACAATCAAAGTATATCTGCCAGGTGATTATCTAAGTTTTTACTGAATGCCTCCAGTGCTGGAGCACTCACCAACTCCTGAGGTAACTGGTTCCACTGTTGTATTGCTCTAACAGTGAGGATGTTATTACTGTAGTTTAACAGCATGGCTTGTTTTAAAGTTGGCAACTGTCGTTTTCTAGTTCAGATGGAAAAGGAATCTTTGTTCAACAAGATACTTCCTAGTTTGACTGTTTATGCCAGTGGTTCCTAACCTTGGGTCACACAAATGTACTTGGATTGAAACTTCCAGAAACCCTCACCACTAGCTGTGCTGGCTGGGGTTTCCAGGAGTTGCAATCCAAGAATACCTGGGCTACCCAAGGTTGGGAACTACTGGTTTATGGTGTAAAAATGAGGAGCAAAAAGGCTGCAGGAACTGATAAAATATTCATTCATATATTAGTATATTATACAGAGATATTATTGCCTAAATTAGCCATTATCTATGCAATTTTAATATCAGAATGATTCCTTCATTTCAAACATATGGATACTGCTATAGTTTGAGATTAAGAGCAGTGAAGTGTACAACTGACAGAACAAGTATTTCAGAAAAAAATGAGACGTTTCCCCGCTTCTGCAATAAATGATAACAATGAGATAGCATGAGTTCAAGTATCTATTCAGGAAGAATATCACATTATTGAGGAAACCACAGTTTACTTGAAATGGGCATGTAAAATAAAAAGGTTTTTTTAAAAGAAAAAAGTTACACGAAATACCTATCAATTGCATTTGAAGGCACTGACTGGTATACAAACAGCCCAACTCCATGCATGCATGCTTACTCAACTCACTAAGCTCGGTGAAACAATTTCCCCATTTATTTACATTAGACTTCAACAGAGAAGAAACTAGCACATGCCAATAGAAATAGCTCAGTGAGTTAGGTCTCTGGCTGCAGAGCCAGAGGTTAGGTGTTCAGTTCCCCACAGTGCATCTGAGAAGAGCACCCAAGAAGAAGGAAATGGTAAATCACTTCTGGGTATTCTCTACCTAGAAAACCCTGAAAAGTGTCACCATATGTCAGGAGAGAGAATGAATATGTGTGGTGAGAGGCAAGTACTGTATAGGCAAATGCAGTTACATATTCAGACCTCATTTCGGCTGGGGCAAGACATACACAGTAAGTAGCATTCATAAGTAAGCCTCATGGAACTGAATAGGACTTACTTTCTAAGTAAACATGTAGAGCAGCAGAAATGAGCACAGCCCATCAAACCAAACAAAATAAGAATTCTTGAGTAAATAACACAGATGCTTACAAAGAGTAGCATCAAGTTAACTCTTCCTGCGACAAAACAATTTACCACCTAAATGGGAAAGGGGCAAACTCTCCCCCCATGTATACTATGTTAGCTGATATATGGCTGAGAAGCTAATTCAATGCATTGAGTTTTTGTGTGGCATGATATACATATACAGTACATGTTACATTCAATCTCTATCCAGCATGTCTATCAATGTGTCACTGGAAACCAAAAAAGAGTTAAACTTGAGGCTATTCTACTTCGGGCATATAATGAAGAGACAAGACTCCTGCTCAAAAAAGTTGAAACCAGCAAGAAAAGATGACCTCACGAGAGATAGATTTAATGAAGGAAGCCATACATAGTGCTTCTTCATGGTAGGACTTTCTGGAGATTAATTCAAAATGTTACCACAAAACAGGCACAGAAGAACAAGAAACAGCTAATTAGAAAGCACAGTTTAATTGTCACGTAGAGGTAAACAAATAATTTCTCTTTAAAGTAATATATAAAAGTACCTCTATCTTGTCTTCCTTTTTATTTGCCCACTATACAATGAGAAATACTATACAGTCAATATGTCTTCTATTAAGTTGATAAAGATAACTCACTAATTCTTTGATGTTTTTATTTCTTTTAATGATTTACAGGAAAGAAAGGTGGGAGCGACAAGATTGAGGACGTAAGTTTATTATGAAATGGACGTATCCTTAATATTCCCCTGTTCTCGCAATCTCTATGGCATTTGCTGGAAAATGCCACAAGTGGTACCACGTGCCCTTGAGAAGCCAATAACAATGGAAGACACCATAGAGTTACTAATGAACACTGGGGAAGAGTTCCCGCTCTTGGGGCCCTTCCCCCCCTAAAGTCACAAGAGTTCATAAAGCCTGAGAGAAAATAACAGTTTTCCGATTCGTCGCCTATTGTTCTACCCCTTACAGTCTCCGCGGACGGGCAGGGACGTACTAGCTTACCTCACATGGGCTCGCAGCACAGCTATGCCGAATACGAAGAGGCAGCCGCCATCTTGGGAAAGGAAAGGAAAGCTGTGCATCCCGCTATGATACAGTGAGAAAGCTCCGCCCCCATCGTTGCCCTCTAATATCGCTATGGCAACCTGAAGGAGGGGGGGTTGGTTGGGGTGGGCTACGCACGCGCTTTTGTTACCAGCAGCCCTGACGCCTCTCGTCGCCTGCGAATGCTTTTTACTGGGGGTTGCAGTGGGGGCGGGGAAAGAAAGGCGGGAGGCCGTTGCCTCACACTGGGCGGGTTGGAGACATCGCGGAGAGGAGCCAGTGCGCATGCGCCGTGGAGTTCTGTGAGGCGGTTGGGCGTGTACGAAGAGTGTCGCGGCGGCGGCGGCGGTTTGGGGAGGCGTTTGGAGTGGCTACCAGGTAAGTAAGGCGTTGCCCGTCAGGCGGTTTCTCTTGGGGCTGTTTAACCCGCTGGGGGCGGTGGCTGCGTTTACGTTTTCTCCCTGGGAGAGAGTGGGAGAGACACGGAGCGTGGGGGTGTCAGAACGAAAGGAGGAGTGGGGCACTCGGGGCCTCCGCAGATAACTCTGTGGGAAGAGCGCCCTATTTGGGATGGGCCGGGCAGGCGGGCGACCGGCCGGTTGGGTCTCTCTTTGGCTACTGCTCGCTCTAATTTAATGTCCCCCCCACCTCATTTTTCCCCGTAGTCCGGGATGTTGCCTCCGGTTGAGGCACGGCGTGTAGAATGAGAGAGAAGGGAATGGGGCTGGAGGAAATCGCGCGGGTGAGGATTGTGTGGGGAAAGGCGTGGTTGCCGAAAGGATTCCAGGCACCGAAACCTCGACCGTTGGATGACCATATCTGTATACTGGACTTATGTGAAACGGTGGAGAAAGGGAGGCCGCCGACAGTGAAGAGCCGGAAATGGGGAGGGGGTTGCTATTCGGAGGGAGTTTTAGATGGTTGTTCAATCCAAGTTTTGATCAGCGGTGAAACTCTACTTAATAATGCACTGTGGATCCCAACCGGATGAAGGATGAGGAAGAAGGGTGCGCCTATTGAAAGGAAATGTTTGGACACATGCCTGGAGCAGCTGTTTCTTAAGGCTATTATCAACTTCATGTGGTATATAAAAGAGGTTCAGAAAAATTCTTCAGTGCTTCTATATTGAATGGTGATTATTCTTAGTGAGAAGGAAGAGGCGAAAACCTGATGTGGAACATTTGAAAATTCCATTGACTTGAAGAACTGAAGACCTGCAAGGCCATCAATTGCAGATTTCAGCCTAGAAGTCCAGAAAGACATTTGAACAGGTGATGGAAGAGAATAAAAGGAAGAGCATCATATTGGACCTCTGTTTAAGCTGGATGTGTGATGGACATAAATGTTCTCCAACATTTAAACTGCAGTGTGGGCAGAGGGGCATTTGAACACTTAACTGAGTAGTAAACATTTCCATTTTGGTGCTAGCAAGAGCTTTTGGATTTCAACTTAAAGTGGTGCCTCGCACAACGGGTGCCTCACACAACGATGAATTCACACAACGATGCCTTTTTCTGTTTAATTTGCCGCTTCACACAGCAATGTTTCCTATGGGGGATTTTCACACACCGATGTCTCTTTTTCATTCCTGTAAAAGTGTCTTACAATGTTTGGAACAGGTTTTAAATGCTTGCAATGGTTAGCCCACCTCCTGAAACCTATGCAAACTGATTTTGGTGTTGTTCTGACACTTCGTTAATTTATGATGATTTTTTGTTTTCTCCATTGGAAACCATTAGACAGACCGTTCAATGGTTTTCAATGGAGAAAATTCAAAAAATCACCAAAAATTAACGAAGTGTCAGAACAACACCAAAATCAGTTTGCATAGGTTTCAGGAGGTGGGCTAACCATTGCAAGCATTTAAAAC